ATTGCATCAGCAAAAGTGCGCGCGAAAACTGTGTTCGGTCACACCTCAATTCATCAAAAAGACCTAAAAAAGAAAGATCATAACTCTTGCACGCCTTGTGAGCCTGTCTACTACACGAACAACTTCCTTCCCCTGTGGGAAAGCTCGACAGCAATATAAGCTGAATAATATTATTGACTTACATTTCAACTATGCTTACCTGTCGAATGCCTGTTCGTGTCTGCTGTCCAAGCTGTTTAATTTCATTGGGAACTTCCTTCTAGATTCCCGCAGAGTCAAGCTATCACAATTTTCACGTGGCAAGTTTAGGAACCCATATCGTCTCTGACGTGGAGAAGAAACAAGAAAAAAATCGTTTATTAATGCAAAAAGATAACTTCACTATTAGTTAGAACATTAAATGTCGTAATTTAGGAAGATTTAGAATAGAACTAACCTGTTTTTCAAAGATAAAATATTTCGAGTTTTCGCGGTTGAGGAAAACACACAAGCCAAATTTCAACCCCACAATGCATGGAGAACTGAGTATGACGAACTGGTTCCCAGTCTGCTTCGTTTGATGAAATTTCTCTCTATCGATGATTGGTAATTTTGAGGCGGCCGATTTTTTTGATTCTCTTCAATTTGCTTGCACAATCATTTTAAACCACTGCCATTGTTCAGAACATAGAAGAGGGCCGTCCAGTTTGCTTCGCTTGGCATTTCCGTTCTATTATTACAATATTTACAAAACTTTTCACCCTCCGGATATCTCTTCCTTCGATAGCTCAGTTGGTAGAGCGGAGGACTGTAGAGTGTGTGAAGTCATCCTTAGGTACCTTGTTTATACCCAATAAATCCTTATAATAGCACCATGATTGTAGTCACGATTGCTTACTAAATTCTCGTTTCCAACAATTGTTTTTGTTCTACACTGAGAATTGGTCCATATTTATTTTACACAAAGAAATGTATTACTCAATTCAAATCCACAGAAAAAAATGATAGGTCACCATACTCATTTGCGAGAAATTGACAATTTACCTCTATGGCGAGGTCCAGCCGTAAAGAAAAAGCTGCCATTTTTTAATGCATGCATGCTAATCACGCGGGAAATTATGTGCAGTAGGGATGCGCAATGCAATACTGGGGAATGACCTTAAATAGCTATCTGCAGGAGACTGCTGCCTTAGCAAACTTAGATTAGGGATTACGAGATACAACTGCCTTTTTTTGTTGAAAAAAATTCTGAAGGGGTATGAAAATTGTTTGAGATATTGTGTCTTCAAAATAACAGGGCTGGCATATTTTTCTCAAAAAAATAATTCTGTTCATAATTTATAGCACTAGGTAATTTTTGTGTCTTGCTGGAAATATGAACGTAAATTAGACTTGTATATAATTGGATATATAAACAATAGCCTCCATTTGGTGCAGAAATATGCTCTCATATTTATCCACAGACATTGTCTGTCTCAAGAAGTGAACAGTCAGATAATGTCCAAGGACAAAATATCTGAGCATATTCTCAGACCAAATGGAGGCTGTTATGTTTAGTATCCTTGAAATTTCAAATGTTTTTCACAACACATGCAGTTTTGAAAATTGGGGAATATTACCCGGATATTCCACAGTTGCACCTGGGGCATATTCAGTCATGTGACACGTTTAGACCAATTGTGCACTAGCCAAAATGTTTGATGGATTATAATCTGCAATATAGAATAATACTCCAAAATTGTGTGGATACAATAGTAAATAATACATACTCTCAATTAACACCATTATCACATTTTGATTGAACTCAGAGGGTTGAATAGCTTTCAGTGAAACAACAAGCTGTTGTTGGAGATAGCAGGAAGTTTGAGATTATAGAGTTTGAGAGTGTGGGCTTAATATACATGATATATAATTCACTAATATGATGGGTTTTTTTTGTCCCAGGTGAGACAATATGCTGCAGTTTTGTTGCGTAGGCGAGTTGTCAAGCAGTGGACAAAACTGACCCCTGAGGTTCATGCCATGTGAGTAGAATACAGTTTACATTTGTGTCTTGGTTTGAAAATTTTCAAACCAGGTTAGACTCAATTTTGTTTCGTTTAGAGTCTCATAAATAAAATAGTCTGCAAACAGGTTCCCAGTGAGGGTAGAAAAAAGTTTGCCTACTATCGGCTTGTTCTGGAAGCCCTAGACCATTCTCAGCTAGCTCACCTTAAAACCCAACAAGGAGTCTGTTCGTAGGCTACATAGTAAACCTTTTACTAACCCAGCAGGGGGGTTGTACCATTATTTACCCGAGGTTTTGGCAGTAGAGACCTAGCACAGAGGTCATACAAAAATGACCAAGGGCCAATATTTCCTCATACAGCTCAAGCAAGCTAGGTCAGTAAGCAATGCTAGTTTATTGTATGGCACTCAGGTCATGCTTGTTTTGAATTTTCTGGCTGTCAAAAACAAAAAATACATAGGTTGTGACTATTTCCATGGAAATGGTCTGTACGGTAAAAACCTAACTAAGAAGAACCAATTAGATCACTTAAGATTTACCTTATGACTAGTTTGACTAGATCTCATTTTTTCGACTAGGCCATAGAACGCATCAATTTAGACAATAAACATTTCACAAGCAATTTGCCAACATGTGTGAAACACGAAACTCCCTTGTAGTTTCATAATTTACCATTCTCAAAATTAACTGGGAGTCAATGTAAAGCCAAAGGTGATTATTTCGTTTAAAAACTATGAGGACTACTTGCAAAATAATTCTTTGCCCAAGTGAGTTGTTCACAGCCGTAAATTGCAAAGTAAACATTACACGTAATATTCGGTAAATGAAAACAATTTGTTAAAATAAGGAGTTCAAGCAACTGTTTCAATTTTTTCTCAACTTCTTGACAGCTAAAGATCAAGCAAGTGTTAATAAACGGTAGTTTGTCGGTGAACTTGCGAAGCGATCGAAATCTCGAAATATTTAAGTGTTCATTGATGATTTTAACATTGATATGCAAATTTCACGTTGAAACCTAACGCTTTTTTATTCCAGGAATGTCCCTTGTTTGTCCAACAATGCTTCATATAAAGAAACTTATT